CACTTAATGTTGCTTCTATAGTAATTCTCTCCTTTCCTGCCTCCCTTCCTCTTTCCTCTTCTCTCTTGTACCTCTACTTGCTTTCTCTCCTCTTCTCTCCTCTCTTTTTTTTTTGTGGTATTGTGGTTTGAACTCAGGCTCTTGTACTTGCTAGACAGATATCATCTGAGCTAATGCCACGCCCTACAATAAGTCTTGACTTGATGACTCCTTTTTTGATCTGTCACTTGCTAAAACTCACAATACATAGAACATATTACCTGCAAGTGCTCATCACTGAAACTCAAATTACTCTCAATAGTTTCTTTTCAGTTTGTTCTTCACTTAACCAAGTAATTCAAATCATGTTTCTCTGCCCAAAACACTAAAATTGGCATCTCACATGTGAAGTAAAATGTATTACAGTTTAAGTTCTATAGGATCCAATCTTACTTGCCTTCACACTTACTTCTTTCTGACCTACATTTTCTGGCCTTAGGTCCTGGGCACTTGCTATTCCCTTTGTCTGGACCACTTTTTCCTAGAGAACCTCACATCTCTCCTCAGGTCTCTGCTTATACTCCAAAATCACTTTATAAATTTCCCCAACCATTCAAAATAGAAGCCCATAGTACTTCTTTACCTTACCCAATTTTGATTTTTCTTTGTTATACTTGCTACCACGCAGAAAACAACGTATTTAAATGTTTGCTGGAGTCTCCCATTAGGATATAAGCCTTACAGGGCAATGTTTTTCCTGCTTTTATATTATCAGCTCCTAAAAATGGACATTTACTAGCTGCATAAATATGTGTTGATTCCATGAAGGAAAGATTTAGAGTGCCAGGTATTACAACTATTTCTCTTATTTCATAGGACTCTGAGATTAACAAGACATGAATGTAGCTCAGTGGAATAATGCTAGCATGTGCAAAGCCCCTGGGTCTACTCCCCAGCACCGCCATTCAAAACAACAACAACAAAAGACTCCAATATTAAGACTAATCAGGAGAAAATGCCATCACTCATTATTAGTAGATGGAAGTAAGTTATAAAGTCTTCAAATCACCATTTTCAACATTTAAATGGAAAAAGAGAAAATACATAATTACAGGGCTGGATGCATGGCTCAAGTGGTAGAGCACTTGTACAGCAAGCGTAAGGCCCTGAGTTCAAACTTCAGTATTGCCCAAAAAATAAAAATAAAAAATATATGATTATAGAAATAATCTAGAGAACAAATCCTTAATTCAGAAAGCTAGCTGTTGTGTTTCTAAGCATCTTTATAAACTGTATCTATGGTGCCTTGAATATATGGTAATATAAATATGAAAGTCTGTTTGGCTTTTATTGACTATAAACAGGTCTTTGGAGCTATATAATACCTTTATTTCCATCAGTCTGCAGAAATCATATTTAGCAGTGGATACATACATGCATTACTTTTTCTATGTTTAGCAGTGGATACATACATGCATTACTTTTTCTATGTTTAGCAGTGGACACATACATGTATTACTTTTTCTATGTTGTTGACCCATGTAATTCCACTTGTATATTAAGACTAGTTTTATTTTCTGCTAGTTGAATATTTACTAATATCTAGCAAATACAAAGTAAATGCTAATTAAATTGCTAACCACTAAGTGAGTCTTTCCGTTCAGTATATGTATTACCTTCTCCAGGTTTGGGGTCCCAGCCCAATCTCTCCCCTATAGGTGAAAAGACATCTTTCACAAACTCCTGGATTTCCTCATAGAAGTCTGTGTGGGATAAGAGAGTTGAGAGAATCCCCAGGTTACAGCTCAGGTCGCTCCATACAGTGTAATTGGGTTCATTCACAAAAGCTTCCATGACTTTTAGAACCTCTACAGTGCTAATGATTCCAGCTCGAGCCTGGGATAGGAAAAAACATAAATTAACCTAGCCTTCAAACAAAACAAGACAAAACAAATGAGCATGTACTTTTGGAATTATCTAACAATGTTTTTTGTATAATGACAAAATTATAAGCTCAGAAGAACATGGTTAAAGCAGATAAAAATTCTGACAACATCCCTTATTTTTTTGTATTAAAAACTTAAAAAACACATGTAACTTCTGTAATTCAGAGCAACATTAAACCAGTTAACATTATTTCTACTCAGTTTCTAGGACTTTTTGCTCTAGAATTTTTCATACTTTCAGAAAATCGATAAAAAATCCTTGGGGCTTTGGTTCTTGACAGAAGTTGCCTCAAAACTGAATGTGCAAACTGATAATTTAGACCTCTCCTTTACTCATTTCTAAGAGTGCACACTGGAAGGTTCTACAAATTTAGAGTCTTTTCAGTAATAATACAATTAAGAAAAGGAATTTCTGTTCAGCAGCCATCTGCATGAACAGCTCACTCTCTAGGGATAGTTCTCCCCCAGCAGATGTGAAGGTTTTTTTTGTTGTTTTGGGTTTTTTTTTGGTTGGCCCTGAGGCTAGAACTCTGGGCCTGGGCGCTGTCCCTCAGCTCTTCAGCTCAAGACTAGCACTCTACCACTTGAGCCACAGTGCCACTTCTGGTTTTCTGCTGGGTTACTGGAGATAAGTCTCATGGACTTCCCTGCCAGGGCTGGCTTGAAAGAGGATCCTCAGATGTCTCAGCCTCCTGAGTAGCTAGGATTACAAGTATGAACCACCAGCGCCTGGCTAGATGTGAAGTTTTATGCATCAATGCTAATGTGTGTTTATACAATGGAGGATCTAAAACTAGTGACTGCAGAAGGCAGGGAAAATTTAAAGGCCAATTTAAATGAATACTAAAAGGAATTTGACTCTGTGTGTACGTGTGTGTGTTTGCACACACACTGCTTTGAGGCTTGAACTCAGGGGCAGGGAGTTGTCCCTGAACTTTTTGCCTCTAGGCTAGCATTCTATCATTTGATCTACAACTACTCTTCTAGCCTGCCTGCACCCCCACCCTTCCCTCTCCCTCTCTCTCTCAGGTTAATTGGAAAAAATAGCCTCAGAAGACTTTTATGCCCAGGTTGGCTTCAAACTGTGATCCTCAGATCTCAGCCATCTAAGTAGCTAGGATTACAGGCATGAGGCCACCTCCCTGGCAGAATATGACAGGACAATTTTATCTTAGTCAAAGATATCCAGGAATTACCTAAATATGTTGGGAGTCACAAACACAATCCTACTAAATGTAGCCTTAAATCCTTTCTGGAAAAAAAGTCAAATATAAATGTAATTCTCAAGTTAATGTGTTATAAACCATAATAACAGTATTTAAAAAGCCTAGCTTGGGGCTGGAAATGTGGGTTAGTGGTAGAGTTCTTGCCCTAGCATGCATGAAGCCCTGGGTTTAATTCCTCAGTACCATACAGAAAAAGCTGGAACTGGTATTGTGGCTCAAAACGGTAGCATGCTAGCCTTGAGCAAAACAAGCTCAGGGACAGTGCTCAGGTCCTGAGTTCAAGCCACAGGATTGACAAAAATTTAAAAAATTTTAAAAAGTTTAGCTTTTTGGTAATTACTTTGTACCTCAGTAAAACATAAAATCACTCTGAATTATTTTTTTTTTAAATCAGCAGACAGCTCATGCCTATAATCATAGCTACTCAGGAGGCTGAGATCTGAGGATCACAGTTCAAAGTCAGCCCGGGCAGGAAAGTCCATGAGACTCTTATCTCCAATTAACCTCCAGGAAACTGGAAGTGGCACTGTAGCTCGAACAGCTCAGTGATAGCACCCAGGTCCAGAGTTCAAGCCCCACAACAAATTAAAATTAAAAAAAAAAATCACTAGAAAGATTTTCCAGAACTCATATCTATTTCTATTAAAACAGCATCCTTTGTAAGGCAAAAAGTCCTTTCTTTTAATAGAAATAGATATGAGTTCTAGAAAATCTTCTTTACTGATTTTTTTTTTTTAATTTGGCTGTTGTAGGGCTTGAACTCTGGGCCTGGGTGCTGTCCCTCAGCTATTCAGCTTAAGGTGACTGTTCTACTATTTGAGCCAAAGTGCCACTTCCAGTTTTCTGGTGGTTAATAGGAGTCTCAAGGACTTTCCTGCCCAGGCCGGCTTTGAACCACGATCCTCAGATAGATCTCAGCCTGAGTAGCTAGGATTACAGGTGTCAGCCACTGATGCCCGGCTATTTTTGATTTAAGAGCAAAAGAAAAGTTTATTGAAAAGAGAAAAATGGAGCTTCCCATGAAAATGGACAGAGGGCCAGAGCTGGTAATCCCTAAAGGATGCTATAAAAATAGATACAAAGTAAGTGGCTTAATAGTGGTGAGAGGGGATTTATTTTTGGTAAATCACATAGGATCAAATCTTGCTATATAATTAATAGTAAGTCATCTGCTTGCACCCCAAAGTTGCCAAACCTTCCAAATAAACTATATTATTTTTCAAATACTCTAGGAAAAACAATAAACAAATTCTACTGTAATAGTTCAGTAATAGATGCTTACCAAGGAAAAGAGGTCATTCTGTAATCCAAGTCGATCCACAGGAGGCAGAGAAAGGTCACGGATGCCTGGTAATAAACTTTCAAGCATGGCAGAGCTATACTGGGTCCTATAAAAGCCAACTGTTCCCAGATTCAACTGAAAAGATCCAATATATATCATTAACCACTCTCACATTTATAAATTAAAAAAAATTGTTTTGCAGTGCTGGGGAATCAAACCCAGGTTCTTACACACATGCTAAGCAAATGTTCTACCATTTAGCTAAATTACCAGCCCCATTTCTTTCTTTTCTTTTCTTTTTTTGGTGCCAGTCCTGATTGAACTCAAGGCCTGGGTGCTGTCTCTGAGCTGTTTTCAAGGGTAGTACTCTAATACTTGAGCCACAGCACTACTTCAGCTTTGTGGTGGTTAATTAATAGGAGTATATCACAGACTTTCCTGCCTAGGCTGGCTTTGAACCATGAATCTCAGATCGTAGCCTCCTGAGTAGCTGAGATTATGGCATGAGCCACTGGCATTTATTTATTTTTTTTGTCTTTTATTTACTTATTTTTGGTCGGTCGTGGGGCCTGGGCACTGTCCCTCAGCTCTTCAGCTCAAGGCTAGCACTCTACCACTTGAGCCACAGTGCCACTTCCAGCCTTTTCTGTTTATGTGGTGCTGAGGAACCGAACCAAGGGCCTCATGCATGCAAGGCAAGCACTCTACCACTGAGCCTGTCATTTTTTATGTATATGTAAAACAAATTCTAGCACGCTCTCTCTCTCTATATATATATAAAAGACAAGAGCCAACAATGTTAATAGGGATTAAAATATGCACAGTCAGGTGCTGGTGGCTCACATCTATAATTCTAGCTACTCAAGAGCTGAGATCTGAGGATCATGGTTTCAAAGCCAGCCTAGGCAGGAGAATTCATGAGACCCATTTCTAGTTAACCACCAGAAAACCAAAGTAGAGCCGTGACTCAATGTGATAGAGCACTAGCCTTGATCAAAAAAGCTCAGGGTCAGCACCCAGGCCCGCATTCCAGACCCATGGTTGACCCCTCCCCCCCCCCAAAAAAAATACACTACAACCATAGTAGTTTCTTACCTATACTCCCAGCTATTTTGAAGGGAGAGATAAGAAGAAGGTAGTTTAAAGCTAGCCCAAGCAAAAAAGTTAGTGAGGAATATCCTCCCCCTCCCCCCAATCTCAACAAAACAAGCAACAGGCTATAGATATGAAGATCCCAGTCTGAGACTAGCTCTACACAAAAAGCAGTAGAGGGACTGGGAAGGTGGGTCAGTGGTAGAGTGCTTGCCTTGCATGCATGAGGACCTGGGTTCAATTCCTTGAGCTGAAGAGCTGAGGGACAGTGCCCAGGCCCAAAGTTCAAGCCCCACAACTGGCAAAAAAAAAAAAAAAGGCAAGGCTGGGAAGGTGGCTCAGTGGTAGAAAGCTCCCCTTGCATGCTTGAGGCCCTGGGTTCGATTCCTCAGCACCACATAAGCAGAAAAAAAAAAGCCAAAGTGGCACTGTAGCTCAAGTGGTAGAGCGCTAGGCTTGAGCTGAAGAGCTGAGGGATAGCACCCAGGCCCAGAGTTCAGGCCCCACGACCGGACCCCTCCAAAAAAAATAAAGGCAGTAGAGCACCTGCATAGCAAGGGTAGGGCCCTGAGTTTGACCCTAGCACTAGCAATAAAACTCAAGCACCACCAACTTTGGTGGTTAACTAGACATAGAGTGTCATGGATTTTCCTGTACCAGGGCTGGCTTTGAACAGCAATCCTCAGATCTCAGCCTCCTGAGTAGCTAGGATTAGAGGCATGAGCTATCAGCACCTAATAGGAATTCATCTTTACCTAATTGTAATAATAAGATACATAGTTCTTGTTTATAAGAAAATTTTGCTAGGGCTGGGAAGGTGGCTCAGTAGTAGCGTGTTCTGTTTGCCTTACATGCATGAGGCCCTGGGTTCGATTCCTTGGCACCACATAGGCAGAAAAAGCCAAAGTGGTGCTGTGGCTCAGGTGGTAGAGCGCTAGCCTTGAGCTAAAGAGCTGAGGGACAGCGTGCTGGCCCTGAGTTCAGGCCCACAGAGGGCAGGGGGAGGGGGGGTAAATTTTGGGGGACTCCAGTGGCTCATTCTTATAATTCTAGTTACTCAGGAGGCTGAGATCTAAGACAAGATTTGAAGCCAGCCTGGGCAGACAAATCCAAGAGACTCATATTTCCAATTAACCACCTAGGAGCTAGAACTGGAGGCATGGCTTAAGTGTCTGAACACTACTAGTCTTGAGCAAAAAAGCTAAGAATATGAGGGCCTGAGGTCAAGTCCCAGTATGGTACAGGAATTAAAGTTTTCATATTGCTAATTATAGATAGTTCAAGTACTAAATATTTCACTGGGTGTACTTTAAAAAAATAAAACAGGTAAGTAAAAAATTCTGAGGTCTTGTAACCCCTCTGTATGGTATTTTCACAATAAAAAATAAAATTAAAAAACTCTGAGGTAATATATAGATCCCATTAGGAAACCTAAAATTTAAGTAAATACCCACTGTTTTGTTGTTGTTGTTAGTGGAGCTTGTACTCCAGTCCTGGGCACTGTCCCCGAGATCTTTTACTCAAGGCAGCACTCTGCCACTTTGAGACACAGAACCACTTCTGATTTTCTGGTAGTTAACTGAAGAAAGTCTCAAGGAGCCAGGTGCCAGGGGCTTATGCCTGTAATCCTAGCTACTCAGGACACTGAGATCTGAGGATCATGGTTCAAAGCCAGCCCGTGAGACTCTTATCTCCAATTACCACCAGAAAACAGGAAGTAGCACTGTCGCTCAAGTGGTAGAGTGCTTGCCTTGAGCTGAAGACAGCTCCCAGTCCCAGAGTTCAAACCCTATGACTGACAAAAAAAAAGTCTCATGGTCTTATGGGCGTAGGCTGTCTTTGAAGTACAATCCTCAGATCTGAGCCTCCTGAGTAGCTAGGATTCCATGCATGAGCCACCAGTGCCCAGCACCCACTGTTTTTTTTTTTTTTTTGGTCGTGGGGCTTGAATTCTGGGACTGCTGGGGCTATCCTCCTCTTCAGCTTAAGGCTAGCACTCTATCACTTGAGTGGTAGTGCCACTTCCAGTTTTCTGGTGGTTAATTGAGATAAGTCTCACAGACTTTCCTGCCTGAGCTGGCTTTGAATCAGGAAGAGCTAGGATTACAGGCATGAGCCACTGGAACCCCTGGTATTTTTGCAATATATATATATATATATTTTAAACATCAGCTAAGGAATTTCACATTTCAATGACATAAACTGATTATCTGTTTGATTTAATTTGATTATAGTTCTATACATTTGATGACAACATATCATTAAGGTAAACATATCATTACAATGAGAAGGCTGGGGGCTAGGAAGGTGGCTCAGTGGTAGAGCACTTGCCTTGCATGCATGAGGCCCTGGGTTCAATTCCTCAGCACCACATAAACAAAAAGAAAAAAGCCAGAAGTGGCGCTGTGGCCCAAGTGGTAGAGCGCTAGCCTTGAGCTGAAGAGCTGAGGGACAGTGCCCAGGCCCAGAGTTCAGACCCCACGATTGGACCCCCCCCAAAAAAAACAAAAAAAAAAAAAAAATGAGAAGGCTGTTTGAAGCTACAAGAGTACAAATGTTTTAGTGAATTTGACTTAGCCTACTGTTTTTCAGTTTTTTCGAGACACGTCTCACTATGTTTCCTAGGCTTGGCCTTAAACTCAAACCTCTTGCCTCAGCCCTCTTAGTGCTGGGATTACAGGTATATGTCATCATACCCAGCTACTCTACTAATTGTTTTTCACTTTAGTCTTTGAATCTGCTTTTCTACTACTTCATTACCTAACATAAGGGCCAATGTTTGGACACTACTATTTGAGAATTGGCCCTAAATTTTACAATATTATATACAGTGGAAGTCTATGCTCCATCAGAAAGAAATCACACAGCCCCATTGGTTAGGAAATTGAGAGCCTTGGAAAAAATTACATTAAGTGAAATAAGCAAGGCCCAAAGAAACATAGGTCCCATGTTTTCCCTTATTTGCAATAACTAGTATATGTCTAGGACAAGCAGAAAAGTTCAAAAGCTATGGACATATGATCACGTAAGATGATGCTAAGTGAAATGAACCCCAAGATAGGGACACAAGAGGCTTTATCTTTGTTGCTGTTGTTTTAAATGTATTTATAATGTACTATGTGATTTTATTTCTTTTGTATGTTCTTCCCCCATGGTATAAACTGTTTTAACTATATTTGATTCCGGTGCCCTGCATCTTGTATATACTTTTTTCTAATTTGAGGAGGGGAAGGGAAATAACAAAATGCTGAAACAAGGATACAGGTTGACTCATTGTAACAATGAGATGTACAAGACATTATGTTGAGGGGGAGTGGGAGGTAGAGTTAGGGAAGGGATGGTAGGGGAAAAACAAAGGAGGGGTAACAATGCTTGATAGGAAATGTACTTATCTTACTCATAACTGTAACCCCTCTGTATAGTATCTTTACAATAAAAAATATATATTAAAAAAAGATTAAAATTTTTTATTTTCCTAGTCAGGTGCCAATAACTCACGCCTGTAATCCTAGCTACTCAGGAGGTTAAATTCTGAGGATCAAGGTTTGAAGCCAGCCTGGGAAGAAAAATCTGTGAGACTATTCTCTACATTCCACTATACTAACAAATCTGGAAGTAGAGCTGTGGCTTATGTGGTAGAGCACTATTTTTGAGCAGGACAGTATGCAGGCCTATAAGTTCAAGCCCCAGGACCAGCACACACACAAAAAAACGTTTTCTTTAAGAAGTCCTAGCCTAGGGGGCTGGGAAGGTGGCTCAGTGGTAGAGCACGTGCCTTGCATCCATGAGTCCCTGGGTTTGATTCCTTAGCACCACATAAGCAAAAAGAGAAAAGCTGGAAGTGGCGCTGTGACTTAAGTGGTAGAGTGCTAGCCTTGAGCTGAAGAGCTGAGGGACAGCGCCCAGGCCCAGAGTTTAGGCCCCATGACCAGACCCTCCCCTCCCCACCACCCAAAAAAAAAGTCCTAGCCTAAACTGAAGCAGTAAATTTTAGGGTCAGTCATAAAATACATAAAGTGAGACCAAAAAATCATTTTAGTTAAGATAAAAATGGCTATGCTGGTTTGGGAATGTGGCTTAGTAGTAGAGTACTTGCCTAGCATACATGAAGCCCCTGGGTTTGATTGTTCATTACCATATAAACAGAAAAAAGCCGGAAATGGTGCTGTGGCTCAAGGGGTAGAACACTAGCCTTAGGCCAAAGAAACATAAGAGACAGTGTCCATGCCGATTTAAGCCCCATGACAGGCAAAAAAAAAAAAAAAGGGCGGGGGGGAGGTCTATGCTACTTCTGTACTCACCTTCACCCACTGATCTGGCTTGACATTTTTCAAAACCACATTCATTTCTGGCTTATCCATTAGAATTTTTTGTTTGGCTTGATTGGGGTCTTCACTAGTAGAGATTGTGATGGGAACCATCCATTGAGGACAATCTTCTCCTAAGCAAGAGAAAAACAAACAGAAAATTAAAAAATGATTTTCAACGGAAGAAATGGATAATAAAGTAGAAAAAGATGTCAGGGAGCCAGGCACTGGTAGCTCACACCTGTAATTCTAGCTACTCAGGAGGCTAAGATCTGAGGATCATGGTTCAAAACCAGCCCAGACAGAAAAGACCATGAGACTCTCATCTCTAATTAATCAACAAAATTTATGTCAGAAGTAGAGCTGTGGCTCAAGTGGTAGAGCACAATCCTTGAGTGCAAAAGCTCAGAGACAGCAACCCAGGTCCAGAGTTCAAGCCCCAGGATTGGCACAAACAAAACAAAAAAGTAATTATAACAGTAAGGAGGATGAAGGGCAGAAGGTCATGTTTCTTTATCAAATTTTGTGAGTATAACATGATAAAACATAGGTAGTTGTGACATATATACATATAATATATATGTCTAATGACATGAAGAAATACTTGCAAGTATTTGACTATCAGGAGGTGGATGTAGGAGGATGAGTTTGAGGTCAGCTTGGGCTACATAGTAAATTCCAGGTCAGACCAGCAATGCAGTAATACCAAATCTCAAAGCAAGCACTTACAAGCATAAATTCTGGGAGTTCAACTATTTTAATTCTGACTCTTTAACTTACTAAAGAGGTAGACCTTAAGAAAGTTGAGAAGATAAAAAAAAAATGTAGCCACCCATATAAACACACAGCAAGGCCTCTCTCAGGGATTAAGACTAAAGCATCACTTCTTGAGTGTTCCAATCTTTCTTTACTCTCTACAGCCTTTTAATAATAGACATGAAATTTTTAAAAATTCTAAGTGACTAAATACTACAAATATCTTGTAAAATTCTTTTCTTTTTCCTTTGAGACAAGGTCTTATGTAGTCTAGAACGTCTTGAGATTCTCCTAACCTCATCCTCCCAGCTGATGATTACAGGTGCCAACATTTCCAGCTTAAATTTTCTCTTTGGATTTCTTTCTTTCCTTTGTCAGTGGTAGGGGGCTTGAACTCTGGGCCTGGGTGCTGTCCCTGAGCTCTTCAGCTCAAGGTGCACGCTCTACTACAGCACCACTTCCAGTTTTCTGGTGATTAATTGGAGATAAGAATCTCACAGACTTTCCTGCCTGGGCTGGGTTTTGAACCTTGATCCTCAGATCTCAGCCTCCTGAATAGCTAGGATTACCGGCATGAGCCACTGGCTCCTGGCTCTCTTTTGATTAAATTTCATTTTTATTCTTTCAACATCTCCTTGCTTTTACTTAATCCCATTAAGTTATAAAAATGAGTATCATTTTCTATTAGCTGGAACACTACTGGTATGGTACCCAAATTTGTTAATCAGCTCCCAGTTACAGCTATTGCTTACCAACATATGGTCCACTGGCACAGAACTTCTTTTGAGACAATCTCAGTAATCTGTCATCTTCTACCTAAAAAGGTAAAACAAATGCTATAACAGCATCAACCATCTTTTTTTCCCTGTGTTTGTGGGGGTTTTTCTACAAGAATTAGAACGTAGAACCAATATAATCAAATGTCTTATGAGTGCACAAAACTTAATGGCAATAAAGATTATACCATGGAATGGGCAAAAAGCTCACTATTTTTCATTTAGCCATCAAAATAAAAATATTCTAAATAAAAGCTCAAATTCTGGCTGGGCATCAGTAGCAAACCCTTGTAAAACTACCTACTCGGGAGGCTGAGATCTCAGGATTAGGGTCCTAAGCCACACCTCTACTTCTAGATTTTTGCTAGTTATCTGGAGTTAAGAGACTCAAAGGTTTGTCAGCCTGGGCTGACTTTGATCCACAGATCTCAGCATCCTGGTAGTTAGGATTACTGGTGTGAGCCACTAGTACTTGGCATGGATTTTCTTTTTTGAGACAGAGTCTTGCTGTGCAGCCTAATATGGCCTCTAATTCCTCATTCTCCCACTTCAACCTCCCATGTGCTGGGATTACAGGCATACATCTCTACACCTAGGTTTAGAAAGGATTTTTTTGGGGGTGGGGGGCGCAGAACCTCAATCCTGGGGCTTGAACTCAGGGCCTATGCATTGTTCCTGAGCTTATTTTGCTCAAGGCTAGTGCTCTACCACTTGAACCACAGTACTACTTCCGGTTTTTTCTACTTCTGTGGTACTGAGGAATCCAACTCAGGGCTTCATACATGTGAGGCAAGCATTCTACCACTAAGGCACAATCTCAGCCCTATAAAGGATTTTTTTTTTTAAGAGTACCTGTTCAGCTTCCACATAAATGAGAGGGAATCCCATTTGTTTGGTCCAGGTATTCATCACAGCTGCTATAGGTTTGCCACTAGCACTTTCCAAACTTTCCCAAAGATCCTCTAGAAAGTAAATGTAAACAATATTAATCTAAAATGTTTATATGTTTATTTTCCTAAATAATCAGAAATTTTATATAACTTTTAACACTATTTGACTATTCTTTTGTTCTTTTAGGTTCAGGAAACAATAATTCTAACATCTACCCCTGAATACCATCCTTTGGCCCTCTGCTGGAAAAGTAGAATCAAGTCTCAATAATGCCTTTTTAATTGTATCCTCTAGTATTATAGACGTAGGACAGTACTGTATCATCCCTCTGTGAATATAAATACCTTGTACCTGCTTTATGATACGTAACAGTGACTGTGCTTTATCAGAGCTGTTTTTAATGATGTTACTCAAGAATGTTTTCTTTCCAGATGATGATTGAGAAGTTAATAAAAAAAAATGGTGCCAGGTACCACAACAGTAACAGAACTTTGCATTTTTCTGGGGTTTTGTTTTTTTTCTACTTTTGTCAGTTTATTAAATTGATGTCTTAATTTTCAAAATAAGCACTAGCTACTACTTGAGTGAGATTCAATATTATTGTGATTGTGTTCACAAGTTAGGGACATTTTCCTTATTTCTCTGTTATGAATAAGACAAACCTTGTCAGTATCTTTTAGCACTTCATAGCTTAAAATTCTAACAGCTTCAGATTTAGGTTTACAGTTTGCTATTGATAAGGCCAGGTCTGGTCTTGACAGTAAAGCCACCATTGGGGTTTTGTTTTTTATCTTTTTTTTTTTCTTTTTATTAATGGTGTGCTGGATATCTAATTTTGTTCAGATGACTGCAGAACCTGGAAAAGCTGTTGCTGCTATTGATGCATAACATACTGCTATTATCGGTCTTTTTATATAAATATACATATATACACATACATATATATAATTTGAATTTTTGGAAACTTTAGCTGTGCTGTCAACTTTGGAAAAAGTATCCCAGTTTACCGTGTTGAGTTGGCATTGTACAGAAATTGATAGCCATATTGGTCTAGAAATGTTAAACTTAATTTTTTTCCATTTGTACAGGGGTAAATACACTGTATTAAATATGTAAGGTCTTATCTATATGGGTTTGATTACAGAAACTAATAAAGTATTCTCTAAATAATGAAAAGAAACGTTAATCTAAAATGTTTATATGTTTATTTTCCTAAACCATCAGAAATTTTATATAACTTTTAACACTATTTGACTATTCTTTTGTTCTTTTAGGTTCAGGAAACAATAATTCTAACATCTACCCCTGAATGCTGCAGCTAAATAAATTTCATTATAAAAACTGGTCTTTTATTTTAACATGTACTTAATTATTCTAATGTATAAAATATTATAATTGACAAAAGATGGAGGAATTCAAAGAAAAAATATAGACACAGTAACATGTTCATGTATACTACTTCCTTAACAGTCACAAACTTAAATGCCATTACATCCATTCAATTAACCAAAGTTAAAACACAGTCAATGATAAAACTGAAATAAAACTTATGAGTTGTTTTTCAAGACAAGGGAAGGGAACATTCCAGGTAAAGAGAATAAATGATCTACGCACAAACAGGGAAGCATAAGATAGAAAACTTGAAGCAATACTTGTTGAGGCAACAACTCAGCAGTGTCTTCATTAAGCTATAGAATAGGGAGCACAGTAGTAGGAGTAACAGATGAGGTGAAAAAAACTGGCAGAACTGTTTCAGACAGTACAGCTTACATAGAGGGATGAATCCGGTGATCAAGTAGAGTGATAAAACTAGCTACATCCTCTCTAGAGAGATACTCATTCTAGCTTTAGTTTAGCAAATGAAGTTGAAAGGACTGGGAAAGGGGATGAAGTAGTGAGTTAATTAACAAGTAATTGCAGAACTGTAGTGGAGAGATCACAAAGTGGATTAGAAGGGCTATGTGAACAGACAGATGACTCTGGAACTTCGGCAAGAAGTTAAAGACCATGAGCAATAACTAAAATATAGTTTAATAACAAGTATCTTCCATAAATAACAGGACCAAACAAAACTGTCAAAGAGTAGCCTTTGCTATTCAAAGTGTAGCATAACTCAGTAACACTAGATTTACCCAGGTATGTTAGAAATGTACTAACATATACAGAGTAACAATATTTTATCTCCATTTCAATCTCAACCTATTAAAGATTACCTGTGGCAGCATTCTTTTGTTGAAACTTGGTTAAATACATATTCATTCCTTTTTTAAAGTCCTGAGAAAATAAAGTTAAATGCAAGAGTCAGATCTCAGGATTTATATTGTATGTGCATATTTGTAGTCAAAAGCAAGGCTGGCACTGTCAAACTTGTAATCCTAGTTACTGAGAAGGCAGAGCTATGAAAATCTCAGGTTTTAACTGGCCCAGATAGAAAAGTCTGTAAGATTCATCTCCAATTAACTAGTAAAAAGCTGGGCTGGAAGTGTAGCTCAGATGGCAAGAATGCCTGTCAGTTGTGAGCAAAAAAACCAAGCAAGGCATTGATGACTCACATCTCTAATCCTAACTTACCCAGGGCAGGTGAGATCTTAGAAATATAGTTCAAAGCCGGGCGCTGGTGGCTCACGCCTGTAATCCTAGCTACTCAGGAGGCTGAGATCTGAGGATCGCAGTTCAAAGCCAGCCCGGGCAGGAGAGTCTGTGAGACTCCTATCTCCAATAAACCACCAGAAAACCAGAAGTGGCGCTGTGGCTCAAGTGGTAGAGCGCTCGCCTTGAGCTGAAGAGCTGAGGGACAGCACCCAGGCCCAGAGTTCAAGCCCCACATCCGACAACCGCCCCCCATACACACAGATAAAGCAAAACATATATAGAAATTTAGCTTTAAAAAATGAGACATTTTGTCCATGTAAACCTGTGAAAAGAAGATTAAAAAAATGTTCTTTTACCTTATCCCCAATGTAGTCATGCAGCATTCGAATAACAGATGCACCTTTGCTATATGATATAGCATCAAATATTTCATCAACTTCAGATGGATGGCCCACACTGACCTGGTAGACAGTATGATTCAGGGTTATGACAGGAAGCAGACAGCCTGTAATACTAAATTACATAAAAGCTTTCTAGGAAAACCCTTCTAATTCCTAAGATATTTTTCTGCCCTTAATGCACTCATAAAGTACATAACAATCATCAAAAGTGTAGCTAATTAATCTTAATAAAGTGAAAGATGATGAGGATTATGTTCTCTATTCTAGTCCTGACACTGCTCTGCTCAGAGGCAAGTCATTATATTTATTCATAGGAGTATAGGGAGAGGTGAGTAGAGAAGAAATGTAGAGATCAAAACATTTAGTTACCTACACTAATTATAATTACTTTATGATTAAAACATTAAATAATTATTTTACAATTAAAGAAGATACTAGCTAAATATGTTAAAGTAAGATGTTGCTCTCCTTCGGATGCAAGATTTCTATATATAAACTAATTGTAGTAAGAATAGACTAAATCAAGAGAAAACAAACAGAAACAGACTAGAATAATAAAATATGTCCATATTTTCCTTGAAACAATGAAATCATAGTGTTACTCAGCAGATATGGTTTCTCTCACACTATTCAATAAAACCTTATGTAGTATCTTCCTCTACAAAGATAAAATTTTTATAAGGCCTATCAATTAGAATTTACTCTTGTCAGATTTTTAAAGACTGGAAATATAAACTAAAAAACAAGCTATACCACCCAGCAATTATCTTTTCATTTCAGAATCCTAAGCATCTCTAAAACAAATTATTTTATTGGGAAGGAAAGTAGTTATAGCCCATGGTTGGAAAGTGTAGCTCACTTCAATAGGATGACTGTTATCTAAGGCATCAAGCTCCTGGGCTCGGGTGTAATCAGCAGAAACAAACTGAGTCCAGATATCATACTCGGGAAAGCAGTGGTCCACACATAGATACTCAATCCAGGATGCAAAGCCTTCATTTAACCAGAGATGAGTCCACCATTCCTTTAAAAAAAAAAGTATAAAAATAAGTGAGGAAAACAAAATGACTGTCCTTCCACTAATTTGAAAAAAAAGTTGCTTAAGGAAAAAAAAAAGTTTGTTCTACTATACTCCCAAATTTATAATTTAATGAGCAAAAATTCTGAAGCCACTTAGTGAAAAACTCATTTTGTCAACAGATGGCAAGAAAGGTCAGTCAGCTGGTGATCTTAAAATTATGCTTGGAGAACATTTTCAAAACTCCAGAAACTTCTTATTAGCACAGGTAGAAAGAGGGTGGAGTACATATATGGAAAAAGGAAAGAGCAGATAAAAGTAGGCAAGAGCAGAGAAGTGAAAAATATCATTATATAAGATTTAGCTTAGTAATCAACTGTTATGGCTCACACCTATAATTCCACCCAGAAAGTGGAAGTAGTAAAATTATCAGGTCAAGTCCAGCCTGAGTTGTGAGAAGTTGCTATGAGACTTTGTCTCAAAAACAGAGTTAGGGCTGGGAAGGTGACTCAGTGGTACTGTGCTTGCCTCACATGCATAAGGCCCTGGGTTTGATTCCTCAGCACCACATAAGCAGAAAAAAGCCGGAAATGGCACTGTGGCTCAAGTGGTAGGGAGCTAGCCTTGAGCTGAAGAGCTGAGGGCCAGCGCCCAAGCCCAGAGTTCAGGCCTCTCGACCGATCAAAAAAAACAAACAAAAATGACCAAAAAAAAACAAACCAAAAAGCTAGGCTTAGTGGCTTATGACTGTAACCCTAGCTATTCAAGCTAGGAGGCTAAGATCTGAAAATCAAGGTTTGAAGCCAGCCTGAACAGGTAAGTTCATGAGACCCTTACCCCCAATTAATCATCCAGAAGCTGGCAGTGGAACAGTGGCTCAAGTGGTGTAGATGGGGAGCCTTAAGCAAAAAACTCAGAGACAAAGTCCAGGCCCTATGCAAAAATTCTGAAGCCATTTAGTAAAAAAATCATTTTTGTGTCAACATATGTCTAGAAAGGTCAGTTGGGGATCTTAAAGAGTTATGATTAGGGAACATTTCTTTTGGGGGGGGGGGTCTGGTCATAAGGCCTGAACTCTGGGCCTGGGCGCTGTTGATTAGGGAACATTATTAAAACACTAAAGTAACTTCTTCCAAATTTTTGTGTCGAGATTGACACAAAAACAAAACAAAGCTCAAGACAGACTATATTCCTAGCTATCTGGAGGCAGATGAGGGATAGAGGTTCAAAGCCAACCTGAGAAAAATGTTCACAAGACTTCATCTCATCCAGGAGCTGGGTATACTGACATATACTACCTATCATCACATTTGTCTGGGGAAGCACAAATTGGCTGGGCCTGGACATAAAGTAATCACAACAACAACAATGCAAAAAGGACTGCTAGAGTGGCTCAAGTGATATAGTTTCTATCTAGCAAGTATGAGGTCCTCAGTTAAATACCAAAAAGACAAAAATCAAAAATAAAATAAAAAGCTAGTGGGAAAAAATAAAGGGGAAGCTAGGGGCAAAGCTCAAGTGATAAAGCACTTGCCTATAAAGTGCTGCATATACTTCAATCACCAGTATTAAAAACAAAACTATTAGCTGGGCATCAGTGGCTCATGCCTGTAATCCTAGCTACTCAGGAGGCTGAGATCTGAGGATCATGGTTCAAAGCCAGTCCAGGCAGGAAAGTCCGTGAGACTCATCTCCAATTAACCACCAGAAAACTGGAAGTGGCGCTGTGGCTAGAGTGCTAACCTTGAGCTGAAGAGCTGAGGGATAGCACCAAGGCCCACCCAGAGTTCAAGCCCTATGACCACCAAAAAAAAAGAAAGAAATATCATGGTAGGAAGTAGTGCAATGATGAATGTTAATATCTGAGTATGAAATTCTCACCTGCTAATAAAACTACATGGCAAGTGGGATGAACAAAGACTGAATGCCAAAATACTTTTTGAGGTATATCAACTTTTTAGAAAAATGATTTCAATCTAATTTCACTACAGTTGATTAAAGCACTTAGTAATGTATTAATCCAAGACAGAGGCCAAGGGATTTTGGTTGAAAAACAAAGTGCATTTTGAAATTCTAAAAGAATCAGATTGGGAAAAGGGGATGCTTGAACTCAGGGTCTCAAGCTTTCACCTAGCTTTTATGTTCAACACTGGCACACTATCACTTGAGCCATACCTCTACTTTTTTTTTTTTTTGTGCCTGTCCTAGGGTTTGAACTCAAGTGCCTGGTACTGTTCCTGAACTTTTTTTTTTCTTTTTTTTTTTGGGGGGGGGTCCAGTCGTGGGGCCTGAACTCTGGGCCTGGGAGCTGTCCCTCAGCTCTTCAGCTCAAGGCTAGCTCCCTACCACTTGAGCCACAGCGCCACTTCTGGCTTTTTTTCTTTTTGCTTATGTGGTGCTGAGGAATCGAACCCAGGGCATCATACATGCAAGGCAAGCGCTCTACCACTGAGCCACCTCCCCAGCCCCTTCCTGAACTTTTACTCAATGTAGTGCTCAACCACTTGAGCCACAGCTCCCTTTCCAGCTTTTTCAAGGTTAGAGATAAGTGTCTCACAGACTTTCCTGCTTGAGCTGGCTCTGAATCATGATCCACAGATCTCCATCTCCTGAGTAGCTAGGATGATAAGCATGATCCACACTGGTACTCAGCAAAAGGGTTGTTTTGTTTTGTTTTTTTCCCTTCTGGTACTGGTTCTGTGGTTTGAACTTAGGGCCTCAGTGTTTTCCCTGGGCTTTTTGCTAAAGATTAGTACTCTGCTACTTGAGACACACCTCTACTTCTGGCTTTTTGGTGGTTAACGGGAAATAAGAATGTTCTTACAGAGTTTCCTCCTGAATAGCTAGGATTACAGGCATGAGCCACCAACACCCGGCCAAAAGAGTTTATTTTTGGGTATTTTTTTTTTAAGCAACTCCTTAGATGTCTCAGTTGCTAAATATCTTACTTTCTTGCTTAATTTTTTTTTTTTTGGCTGGTCATGGGGCTTGAACTCTGGGCCTGGGGGCTGTCCCTCAGCTCTTTCTGCTCAAGGCTAGCATTCTACCTACCACCTGAGCCACAGCACTACTTCCGGCCTTTTCTGTTTACGTGGTGCTGAGGAATCAAACCCAGGGATTCATGTATGTGAGGCAAGCACTCTACCCCTGAGCCACCTTCCCAGCTCCTTTCTTGCTTATTTCTAAGACATAAGGAAGTTAACTAATATCCAAGCAAGTATACAACTCTTGGAAGTCTTTTAAGTGCTGTCAAAGAATCTGGTAAACCCAGGGCTTTGCATATGCTAGGCAAGTACTCTACCACTAAGCTACCTCCCTAACCCTGATAAAATACTTTTCTCTTTTTTCCCAAAGATTTCTTTATTAAGTAACTACATATATTTTATACTACAGTGGAGTAGTTATACTTAGCTAAAGTCATCAATGCATTTTAACCTTCACAATGATAATCATCTTCATTCTAATCTACAAAGTTTATGAACTTTATGAACATTAACAATAAAACTATTTCTTCCATGGGGAAAAACAAAGGAGGAGGTAACAATGCTCAATCGGAAATGTACTCATTACCTTACTCATGTAACTATAACCCCTCTGTACAGTATTTTTACAATAAAAAATCAAACTATTCTTTCAGATCGGGTGATATGTACATTTCTTTCCTTCTGCTTAGTCCTAATAAATACTTTTCAAAGGCAGATCTTGAAAATAAAATTTTTCTATCACTCAACTATTTTTAGTGTAATATTATAGCCAAATATTATAAAAGCTGATGTGGTCAAGATGATGTACAGCAGGATAAAGATAAATATATTAGAGCACTTAAAAATATTAAATACCATAGTAACAAGATTTCCAAACCATTGATGGGCAAGTTCATGTCCCACAACCAGAGCAACCCACTGGCGTGATGAAGAACAGGAGTTTTTTGGATCAATAAGCAATGCAGTCTCCCTGTATTTCAAAAAAACAACAACAACAACGAAACAATGTAAATATTGCATTAAAAGTGGGCATACATAGTGAGAAGGATTCTGACAGTAAAGATATGGCCACATTAGGCTTTAAAGATATTAATAAAACAATTCCGGAATATATAGAGTAGAAAAAGTCTGAGGACCACCATAATAATAGAATTCATTCAACAAAAGATCAAATTAAGCCAGGGTGCCAGTGGCTCACACCTGCTCAGGAGGCTGAGATCTGAGGATCACAGTTCAAAGCCAGCCCAGGCAGGAAAGTCTATGAGACTTTTATCTCCAATAAACCACTAGAAAACCCGAAGTGGCACTGTAGCTCAAACGGTAGAGCGCTCACCAAGAGCGCAGGGACAGCACCCAAGCCCAGAGTTCAAGCACCACCACCGACAAAAAAAAAAAAAAAAGATCAAACTAGTCTCCAGTGGCTCATGTCTGTAATCCTAGCTACTCAGGAGGCTGAGCCTGGGCAGGAGTCGGGAGACTCTTATCTCTAATTAACCACCAGAAAACAGGAAGTGGAGTTGTGATTCAAAATGGTAGAATGCTAGCCTTGAGCAGAAAAGCTCAGGGACAGTGCACAGGCTAAGTTCAAGTCCCATAACTGACCAAAAGAGAGAAAGAGGAGAAAGAGAAAGAGAAAAAGAGAAAGAGAGGGAAAGGCAAAGGGAAAGGGAGGGAGGGAGGGGGAGAGAGAGAGATCAAAGGCATGATTCAAATTTATTTTTTAATCTGAAATTTTGTAATTATTTCTGATTAGAGATGATTATGCTAGACAAAGTCTTTTCATTAAATGAGGGAAATATAGCAGAGGAAAATGCATTCCAACATCCTCAAAAGAACACTGAACAGGCTGTCTAAAACTTAGCTCATCTAAAAAGGCAAGTGAAAAAGCAAAAAATTGTTTAAGGACTCTGCTTCAAAAATTATACAAACCACATGTTTGTGTTATGGTAACAGACATGTGAAAAATTAGCTAGAAGATACAAAATAAGGGGAGGTTCTTCAAATTGGATAAATAACTGTGAAACTACTGGGAGGAAGAAAAGGCACCAAAATGAGAAACTCAGCCAAGAACACAACTAAAAACACTACTAATGCCAGATGCTCACTTTCATTTCTTTTTGTTTGTTTGTTTTTTGGTGGCAGTTCTGGGGCTTGAATCATCAACTTTCAAAATCTTACACCCTTGGATAGTAGCACCAGAAAGGGAAGTCCATCTGCATTCTTGAAATGTTAATGGAACTGAGGGAGAGGCAGAAAGTTTTATACCAGATCATAAAGCAGAAGCTACTCAACTGTGATTAGGAGTGAAGACCTTATGAAGTCAGGGATTGGAAAGATAAGGCAGGATGATGTGTCATTAACATACCTATAAGTAACAAGGCCCCAGTTCTCCATGGCACCTTCATAAAATAAATATAAACATTTATTGATATACATATGTGCATACTTTTTCCTCAAAAAAATCACAAAATTCAAATAAAGTTATTACAATTCAGCAATAAAACGAAATTTACTTTACCAGCTGCAAAGTCAGCAATAGCAATGAGATCAATTTTAGGTAGAGGATAAGGAACATTGAAGTATTCTTTATAAAAAGGCAAGGTTTTAGCAGCAACCTATAAAAGCACACAAAAAAGAACCATCTGATGAGTATTTTTTTAATGAGTCATATACAAATCCACAAAGGAAACCTGCTGCAAGACAAAGTATCTCAAACTATGAGAAATCAATTCTAGAAAGCCCTTCTCCTTCACAGACTAACTTAGCCCAAGCTTTATATATACCAGCCAAACTGACTCGTAAGTATAACTTATATTCTTACACTCATTTCCTAGGAAAATAAGTTCCACTTTTATATTCTTTCTTCTTTTTCTGTGGGTTTGAACCCACAGCCCCATGCATGCTAAACATGCACTCTACCACTAAACTATATTACAGCACTGACTTTTATAGTCTCTGAATAGTTATAAAATGTTAATGTAACATCAATGTTGATATATCCAAAATTCTATTAAAAATAAAATGAAAGAAGCATAAAAACTTTCAGACTAAATTACAAGTAACTGTACTAATAATTGATCAGAAATGTAAATTCCCCAACCTGGAGTTATGGACTGTTGGAACAATCCTCTTCAAGTACATTTACCTCTAACGCAAATTTTCCTTGTTCTGCTTTGCCAACAGGGGTGTAAACACGGACACACACACCATCTTTTGACCTTGTTTCTACAAAGTCATATTCACCCACAACAAATGCCACCAGATATGTAGACATAACAGGTGTGCGGGCAAACTTCACTTCCACTAAATTTTCATCATCAGGGTATGGTTTCCGGTCAATTACATTCTTAAGGGGGAAAAAAAGGAAAATTTAAACATTTTCATTAATATCCTAGAGCAAACACTAGCCAAAAACTATAGGCTTTCATTCAGTGTTTTTATCCTGTTAATATCTTTCCTCTAAAAAGTGATCTGAGCTAGGTACAGGTGCCTGTACTACTCAGGAAGTAACTATTCAGGAAGCTGACATCTAAAGACCTCGGTTCTAAGGCAGCCCCCAAAGACTTACCTTATCTCTAATTAACCACCCAAAAATTGGAAGTGGGTTGTGGCTCCCAGTGGTAAAACACTAACCTTGAGCAAAAAGCTTAGGGACAGTACCCAGACCCTGAGTTCAAGTCTATAATCCACAAAAAATAAAACATAACAAGTGATCTGATAATGCACTTATACTAAAAAGTGGGTAGCTAAAAAGTATTAAAATTCTCAAGTACTTGAGACAAGAAGAATCAATTTTTCTTGAATATATATTATACGCCAAGCACTGGGATGTTTTCCAGTAAGACTTCAATACTTTTCAAATGAAATAAGAACAGGAGAAAACAATTAGTAACAAATGACATTGTATGTCAAGCACTGGCTGCTCATGCGTATAATCCCAGGTACTCAAGAGGATTTTAGGGTTCCAGTTTAGAACCAGACAAGCAGACAAATCCAAGAAATGCTTATGTCTAATTAACTGGGCTGGTGGGGGGGGAGACCACACACAGAAGTACAGGTATAGCTCAAGTGGTAGGCAGGAGCAAAAAAGCTGAACAAGACTACAAGGCCTTCAGCTCACACCTCAGAATACACACACACACACACACACACTTAATTAATTAAAAAAATAGATTGTGGGCTGGGTGCCAGTAGCTCACGCCTGTAATCCTAGATACTCAGGAGGCTGGGATCTGAGGATCATGGTTCAAAGGCAGACTGGACAAGCAAAGTCCATGAGGCTCTTATCTCTAACCATGATAAAACCAGAAATGATGCTGTGGTGGAGCGCTTGCCTTGAGCTGAATTGCTCAGGGACAGTGCCCAGGCCGAGAGTTCAAGCCCCACAACTACCCCTTCACTCCCTCCCCACCCCCCAAAAAAAGAAAAGAAAAGAAAAAAGATTGTGGAATCTCTCATCTCAAAAGGTATGGATTTCTAGAGTATTCTCTGAACCAAGGTGCTGGCTCTATACAAATTGGTGAAGTTTTCATTTACCTTTGAAATTCCTAACTTCCCTTTGGTCTACTCCTTCTTTTCAATTCAAGCTCTTATTCCCTCAAATTTTATTGCTTCTTTCAAGAAAGAGTTAAATAAAAAAAGACTTGATATATTCATTTACACTATCGAATATTTGATTTTTGTTTTTTTTTTTTTTTGTCGGTCGTGGGGCTTGAACTCTGGGCCTGGGCGCTGTCCCTCAGCTCTTCAGCTCAAGGCAAGCGCTCTACCACTTGAGCCACAGCGCCACTTCCTCGAATATTTGAGAAGAGAATGATATTCTACCTATGGAATTCTCTACACCATAAACAGGCAAAAGGCCAGTTAATTTCAGAGGTAATACACTTTTCCAATATCCCCAGAATCAGAATATAGGCTACAGGTTATTTCACATCTTAAGTAAGGCAAGCCTAAGCAATGCATTTTAAGTAATAAATGGCTTACTTTATATAAATGGTTAAAAGTATAAAAAGCATAGTCATTAAAGAAGATGATAACCCAGAAGCTAAAACATACTTTATTACAAAACTACAATTTCTGGTACTTAAATATAAAAGTTCTTTTCTTTCAACTAATTTATCTAACATTTATATTGCTAAATTTAAAAAACTAAATTTTTCTTAAAGCAAATGATTATATTAATGTATTAAACAAGGATTCGTTATCCAACAGGGGAAATCCCTCCAAATATAAAAGGCAATTGAGTAAAAGAGAGCTCACTGGAAATAAATAGTAGTTGTGTTTGCAGTATATACTAAAGTTACTATGCTGAGTAATAATAACATGTTACACCATCTAATCACAGCAAACCAAATATACCACAATAAAAATTTTGAGACTTTTAAGCACATACATACCATGTTTGATAAAGCTACTCTGTCTTTGGGAACAACCAATGAGATATCAAAAGTTGCTTTGATGGCAGGTTCATCCCAGCAAGGAAAAGCTCTCCGGGCATCAGTGGCCTTGAGAAAGAATATGAAATACAAATACCATTAAGTTAACCTTACAGTCTATTTCATGAAACAACTACCATTACTTTATAATTCAGTAATTTGTCAGTTGATATTCAACCAAATATTTCTTTTCTATTCAGTGTCAGGCAATAGGCTACAAACTAACTACAAAGAAAGGTGGCTCAGTGGTAGAGTGCTTGCCTAGCATGCATGAAGCCTTGGGTTCACAAGTCCTCAGCACACATAAACAGAAAAAAGCCAGAAGTGTTACTGTGACTCAAATGGTAGAGTGCTAGCCTTGAGCTGAAGAGCTGAGGGACAGTGCCTAGGCCCAGAGTTCAAGATCCGCAACAGATCAAAAAAAAAAAAAGGAATGTTAAGCAAGTTCTGTGGAAGGATAAATTATTAGTAAGAGGGGAAAGAGTAAATGGAAAGGATAGTTCAATTCCTCAGTACCATACAAACAGAAAAGGCCGGATGTGACACTGTGGTTTCAGTGGTAGAGGGCTAGCCTTGAGCAAAAGAAGCTCATGGATACTGCCCAGGCCCTGAATTCAAGCCCCAGGACTGGCAAACTAAATAAGTAAATATTTTTTAATCAATATACCTCACCAATAAAACACAAAACAAAACACTGTTTGGAGATATAGTATAGCCATCATTCTTTTTTTTTTTTTTGGTCAGTTGTGGGGCTTGAACTCTGGGCCTGGGTGCTGTCTCTCAGCTCTTCAGCCCAAGGCTAGTGCTCTACCACTTGAGCCACAGTACCACTTCCAGTTTGCTGGTGGCTTACTGGAGATTAGAGTCTCCCAAACTTTCTTGCCTGGGCTGGCTTTGAACCATTATCCTCAAATCTCAGCCTCCTGGCCGGGCTTCCAGCCAACATTCTAAGATAAAGTATCCAAAATAGTTTGAGACAGGCACTACAGTAATTTCAAATATAGAATTAAACTAGAGAATTGTGGTAAATACTATTTAAAAATAAAAGGATGGGGCTGGGAAGGTGGCTCAGTACTAGAGCACTTGCCTTACCTGCATGAGGCCCTGGGTTTGATTCCTCAGCACCACATAAGCAAAAAGAAAAAAGCCGGAAGTAGCGCTGTGGCTCAAGTGGTAGAGCATTAGCCTTGAGCTGAAGAGCTGAGGGACAGCGCCCAGGCCCAGAGTTCAGGCCCCACGACCGGACCAAAAAATTAAAAATAAAAAATAAAATAAAATAAAAATAAATAAAAGGGGGGCTGGGAAGGTGGTTCAGTGGTAGAGTGCTTGCCTTGCATTCATGAGGCCCTTGGTTCGATTCCTCAGCACCACATAAGCGCCGGAAATGGCACTGTGGTTCAAGTGGTAGAGCACTAGCCTTGAACTGAAGAGCTGAGGGACAGCACTCAGGCCCAGAGTTCAGGCCCCACAACCGGACACAAAAATAAATAAATTATATATATATATGAAGGTAAGCCAGGCCCAGTGGGCGCCAGTGGCTCATACCTGTAATCCTAGCTACTCAGGAGGCTGAGATCTGAGGATCATGGTTCAAAGCCAGCCCAGGCAATAAAGTCCTTAGGAGTCTTATCTCCAATATAACACCAGAAAGCCAGAAGTGGCACTGCGACTCAAGTGGTAGAGTGCCCGCCTTGAGCTGAAGAGTTCAGGGACAGCGCCCAGGCCTAGAGTTCAAGCCCCATGACCGACCAAAAAAAAAAAAAAAATAATAATGATTTTTTTAAAAAACAAAAGGTAACACAGAATTAATGGAAGAGGAGATATACTACATAACAGAAATTAGCACTAAACTAGACCTACATTTTCATAGTATGCAAAATAATTAATCTAGGAACATGGACAGAAATTTAACAATGGCTATCACTAATTGTTATGTTAATTATATTAAAATTCATAAAATGAATTCAGTAAGCTTATCACATTAAAGTATCATTGACAGATAAAAAGTATATACAAGACTTATAAGTATTTAGTAAATAAAAATTAAGTGAGTATAGTAATATAAAGTAAAATGCCAAAGAAAGAAAGAAATGCTTTGAAACAGCTAATAATTCACTAGGAAAAGATATAGCTATCAAATATTTCAAGGATGATTGTGATTTTAAAAGGTATACAATCCAGACACTAGATGCTCATGCCTATAATTCTAGCTACTCAGATAGCTGAGATCTGAGGATCATAGTACAAAGCCAGCAAGGGCAGGAACATCTGTGAGACTCTTATTCCAATAAACTACCAAAAAGCCGTAAGTTGAGATCTGAAGATATCGGTTCAAAGCCAGTCTGGGCAAGAAAGTCCATGATAACCACCAGAAAACTGGAAGTAGCCCTGTGGCCCAAGTGGTGGAATGCTAGCCTTGAGCTGAAGAACTCAGGCATAGTGCCCAGGCCCAGAGTTCAAGCCTCACAACTGACCAAAAAACAAACAAACAAACAAACAAAGCCAACGGACTAGGAATGTGGCTCAGTGGTGGAGTGCTTGCCTAGCATTCATTAAAGCCGTAGATTCCATTCCTCAGTTAACACACAAACAGAAAAGGCTGGAAGTTGTGCTGTGGCTCAAATGATAGAGTACTAGCCTGAGCAAAGGAGCCCCAGGCCTGGCACATAAAATAAAATAAAATAAAATAAAAATAAGGTCAAGTAGCTAGGCAGCAGTGGCTCATGCCTATCTAGCTACTCAGGAGGGTAAGATCTAAGGATGGAAGTTCCAAGCAGACCAGACAGGAAAGTCTGTGAGACTTTTATCTCCATTAAACTACCAAAAAGCCAGAGGTGGAGCTGTGGCTCAAGTGGTAGAGTGCTAGCCTTGAGCAAAAGAAGCTTAGGGACAATGCCCAATCCCTGAGTTCAAGCCCCAAAATCAGTTCCAAAAAATAAAGCCAAATGTAGTAGCCATATGTCTAATCACAGCTATTTAGGAGGTAGAGATAGGAGGTCTCTGATCTGGAGGCAGCACAGGCAAAAGTACAAAACCCTATCTGAAACTACAAGCAAAAGGACTGGTGGCATATCTCAAGCGATAGAGCTCTTGCCTTGACAAGTGCCCAAGAATAAAGAAAAGAGAATGAGAAGAAAATTACACAATATAAAACAATTCAGATATTGAAATTTTGTTACAGTGTGTGTGTGTGTGTGTGTGTGTGTGTACACCTATATATAATAGTTGCCACATAATCCACATCTTTCTATAGAGATAATTGGATGAATATAAAATAAAAACATTTTAAAACCCTAAGTATAATTATGGCTAAAGGAATTTGGCCTTAAGAATCACCTTAAATAATAGCATCAAACTGAGTCAGGCCAGGTGACAGTGGCTCACACCTCGCTACTCAGGAGGCAGAAATCTGAGCATCACAGTTCAAAGCCAGCCCGGACAGGAAAGTTCATGAGATGCTTATCTCTAATTAACCACCAGAAAACCAGAAAACTGGCACTGTGGCTTAGTGATAGAGCTCTAGCCTTGAGCTAAAGAGCTGAGGACAGTGCCCAGGCCCAGAGTTCAAGCCCCACAATTGACAAGGGGAAGAAAAAAAAAAAAAAAACTGAGTCAGATGCTTAATTATACTATGTTAAGCCAAGTGCCAATGGTTCATGGCTATAATCCTAGCTGAGATCTGAGGATCAAAGTTCAAAACCAACCCATGCAGGAAAGTTTATGAATTTGTTTTTTTTTTTTTTTTTGGGGGGGGTGGTCATGGGGCTTGAACTCTGGGCTTGGGCGCTATCCCTCAGCTCTTCAGCTCAAGGCAAGCACTCTACAGCTTAAGCCACAGCGCCACTTCCAGTTTTCTAGTGGTTTATTGGAGATAAGAGTCTCATGGACTTTCCTGCCCGGGCTAGCTTTGAACCTCGATCCTTAGATCTCAGCCTCTTGAGTAGCTAGGATTACAGGTATGAGCCACTGGCGCCCAGCAGTTTGTGAGATTTTTATCGCCACAGAAACTGCTAAAAAAGATGGAAGTGAAGATGTCTGTGGTTCAAGGGGTAGAGTGCTAGCCATGAGCAAAAGTCTCAGGGACAGAGCCCCAGGTCCTAAATTCAAGACCCAGGACTAGTACATGGTATAGTATTTTAGAAGTTATAGTATTTTAGAACCAGACACCAGTGGCTCACACTTGTAATCCTAGCTACACAAGAGACTGATATCTGGGGATCACAGTTCAAAACTAGAAGACAAGAAAATACATGAAATTCCTATCTCTAAGTAACCAATAAAAATCTAGAAGTAGAACTATAGCTAAATGGTAGAGTGCTAGCTAGCTTTGAGCACAAAAGCTCAGAGATAGTGCCCAGTCCCTGAGTTCAAGCCTCAGTTGCAGCCAAAAATCAAAAAGAATTATAGTATGTTAGAGAAAGATAATACATACCTCAAACTGTGTTACAGCAGCATAGCGCACCTCTCCAGAAGGGGTGGTATATTTACTTCTATAGAAACCTTTCATTTTGTCATTCAGCTCTCCAACAAAATCTATCTTTAAGGTTCCTGTACCTGTGATTGAAGATAAACAAAATCACTTTTATGGAAATGTTAAGAAGAGTTATCAAAAGTATGACCTCAAGATACTATATTTAGATGGCTATTTACTAAGTACAAATCAGTCTTTCCTTTCTCAAATACTCCTGGCACTGGAGAGAATATTCTGTCGGTTGATACAAATGACAAACTAATCCTAAAATGCCTCTTTCAGGCTATGTTTAGAGTGCCTGCTTAGAAAATAGTTTCAATAGTCTAATCTCCAATTCCCAATCCATGAAAATAGGAACAGGAAAGGAAACATTTATTATTAAATGCCTGACACATGCTACTGTGTAAGGGCCTTTTAAAATATTTATGTATATTCATAAAGATGAATGTGGATATTGTCCCCACTTTTTCAGATGAGGAAACTGAGGCTCATATTTTTAGTAAGCAGCAAAAATAGGAAAAAATGTCTTAACACCAAATTTATGCTTTCTGACAACATATGAATTGGTCTTTTTTTGACAGTTTCATGAATAGGAAAAGAAATGTAACCAACTGTTCTGTGATGAAAGACAAACACTGCATCTCTTTAATCCAAACAGAACACTAACTGCCTACTTTTGTAGGAACTACCAGGAAGACCAATTATTTGGTCAGCAAAATGACATAAAACAAATTTAGTCATTTAACTGATTGAATATTGACCTTAAAGAAATATTTAATTGATAAATTATTAAATACAAATAAAAGTACAACCTAAATGTGTATCCTATTGTTGTGCCATGTACTTTCTTAAAAAAAGAAAAATAACTATCTAGTAGCCATCTATTAAATTCAGATGAATGGCAAAACAATTCCATTCTACATTTTAAAAATCAAATCTCACATACACAAACAAAAATGTTGACTTCAGTGCCTATTTATAACAAGATCCTAGGGCATGAGAGTCTACTAAAATCAAGGATATGGTATGAGTAATTACAAATTAGAACAAACTTTTATATCCTATTTTTCTAAACTTCTGTCATTTGAAGTTCTACACAGCACTGACATTTGACATTGACCAAAATGTTTCTGACATTTTCAATCTTGACATACTCTTCTAGGTGATCTTAAAGTCAAACATTCATCTTCTAAAACTAAATTTGCGTTTTGGAAAGGTTCAAAGTCACTGGGTATACAAGTCAACAGAATATATGAAGGACAAACTATATATTGTTTCTACACAAAGACTTTCTGTAAAGCAATTAAACTGATTTAATTTGTCTCAAACTGGTTCTGAAAATAATCTAAGCAAAAATTTCAGACCTTTGTAGCAAAACCATCACTTAAAAAACTGGAATGTTCTTAAAGCAATCATGTTGTAAATCAGTAACAACTGAAATTCAATTAAATAGACATCTGTAGTGGCCATTAAAAAAAAAATCAGACAAATGTGAATATCTGAAGGAACAGGGAATACCTGTTTGCATGTGTAGTGCTAGAAATAAACCCAGTGCCTCACTAATGCTAAGCAGGCACTTAACTATTGAACTACACACCCAGATTCAGTCAACATTTTAAACAGAATGACATATTACTGGGATATTAAATATAAGTCCGTGAGAGAATCAAAAAGAACTCTTAAAAATTGACACTAAAGAATTAAATTACACAATTTTAAGAAAAAAAATTAAAGTTATACTCTACTTTCTTTAGGAATTCACTGATATCTTTTTTAAAGCAGATGTCTTCATGTTGTAAAATTCACAAGAAAAATCTAATTGATTTAAATTTTCACTACCTTTAATGGGAATTGATGAAATTTTACACTAATTCCACAGATTAAATTGGCCTGTTTTCACTAAATCAAATGCTAAAATATTTTAAAATATAACTTATATTCATGGTGAGTATACTTTCAATTTTTTCCTATTTGGAACAAAAGTGGATTTAAAACTCATAACTAAATAAGAAAGGCTGCTTACACTTTTACTCGGTTTTAAATCTCCAAGGCCATCAAACCATAACAAGATATTGATAGTGACCACTTCCAAAAAGTGGCATACTAAACAAAATACAAAGTATTGGAAAGGATTATTACCTGAAATTCAAACAAAACACAAGTTAAAGTTTTTAAAAATCATTAATAAATTCAATTAGTGTCACATTATACAGTACTAATTACAAGTATTTACTAGTGAAAATAGAATTTTAGGGCAAGCAAGGAGAAAAAACTTTTTGACAATTTTAACTTGTTGAATACCATAATGATCACCAGTTCTAATTTTATACCTAGTCACACATAAAATTTACATTATTTCTTCAAATTAGGTACCTTATTTCAGTATCTAGTGTACTTAGCTATTTGTGTGATAATGCTTTTATAATAAAATAAGCTGATTTATAAATTAAACAACTAAAACTAGGACATCCATTGTAAAAACTAAGAGTAGATCTTTATACTTTATACTTTAACAAGAAGAAACATAATAAGCCTACTGAATGCTATAAAATTAAGGACAATTTATGTAAAAAGGGAGTGAAAGTCTTGCTGTTGGGACAAGATTTCTTCTTATCCTAGTTCTCAATCTTTAAAATGGCTAAAAACTACTAGTGAATCTTTATATAAATGACACCCCATATACTACTCAGGAGGCTGAGATCTGAGGATCGATCTTGACTAAGCCAGTCTCTTATCTCCAATAAACTACTCAAAGAAGGCTGGAAGAGGCCCTGTGGCACAAGTGGGTAGAGTATTAGCCCTGAGCCAAAAAAGCTCAGGGAATGCACCCAGGTCTTGATTTCAAGCACCTGGACTAGCATCAAAAAAGACTATAGACCCTTAACCGTTGATTCTGCAGTTGTTGTTAGACCTTAAAATAATTATAGATTCATCCCATCACTCTAGAACAGTGTCAAAGATGGTGTTTTAGTCAGCTATAACATAAAGGTGATTGTATTTTTTTTTTCTTTTGATAGGTCATGGGGCTTAAACTCTGGGCCTGGGCACTGTCCCTCAGCTCTTCAGCTCAAGGCCAGTACTCTACCATTTGAGCCACAGTGCCACTTCCAGTTTTCTGGTGGTTTATTGGAGATAAGAGTCTCACAAGTCTTTCCTGCCTGGGCTGGCTTTGAACTGTGATGCTCAGATTTCAGCCTCCTTGGTAGCTAGGATTACAAGTGTGAGCCACCGGTGCCAAGCAAAAGTGTTTTTGTATGGGTTTTGTTGTTGTTGTTGTTGTTTTGCCAGTCCTGGGGCTTGAACTCAGGGCCTGGACACTGTTCCTGAGCTTCTTTAGCTTAATGCTAACATTCTAACATTTGAGCCACAGAGCCACTTCCAGCCTTTTCTGTTTATTTGGTACTTACGAATTTAACCCAGGGCCTCATACATGCAAGGGAAGCACTCTACCACTGAGCCACATTCCCAGCCCGTAAAGGTTATTAGTAATTAAAATGTGTTCATATTTATTCTATTAGCAGACCATTTCTGCAAACTGTTAAAAATGTGAACTTTGTTTTAATTTTTTTTCTTTTTAATTCACAAATAATAACTATATATTTAAGGGGTAAGAACTTGAACTCAGGGCCTGGATGCTGTTCCTGAAGGGCTTTTTTTGTTCAAGGCTAGGACTCTACCAATTGAACCATAGTTCCACTTGGGCTTTTTGTTTTTTGGGTCCAGTCATGGGGCCTGAACTCTGGGCCTGGGCGCTGTCCCTCAGCTCTTTAACTCAAGGCTAGCGCTCAACCACTTGAGCCACAGCACCACTTCCGGCTTTTGTCTTTTTGCTTATGTGGTGCTGAGGAATCAAACCCAGGGCCTCGAGCATGCAAGGCAAGCGCTCTACCACTGAGCCACCTTCCCAGCCCCCCACCTTGGGCTTTTTGATGGTTAATTGGAGAAAGAATCTCATGGACTTTCCTGCTGGCTTTGAATGATCTTCAGGTCTCAACATCCTGAGTAGCTTGGATTACAGTTGTGATCCACTGGCACCTGGCAGGAATTCATTCTTCTTTTTCTTTTTTTGGTGTCAGTCCTAGGACTTAGACTCAGGACCTGGACACTGTCCATGGGCTTTATCTGCTCTAGACTATCACTCTGCCATTTGAGCCCCAGCTCCACTTCCAGCTTTTGGAGTGGTTAGAGATAGGAGTCTTGCTGACTTTCCTGCCCAGGCTGGCATTGAACTGTGATCCTCAGAACTCCTGAGATCCTCAGATCCTCCAGAGTAGCTAAATTATAGGCGTGAGCTGCCAGCACCCAGCAAAAACAACAATTTTAAAAAGGAGAAGAGAAAGCCTGAAAATATAAAAAGAAATTAGTGTTGAAGCACTTGCCTGACAGGCAAAAATATACAAATAAAAATAAAAAGCATAAAACTAGAAGTGCTGAGTGTTTGTATTTTCTATATTATTTGCCAAACATAAATGAAGCACTTTTGTCAGTTTAGAAAGCCTGTTAAAAGTAGGCTTTAATTGTCAAATATGTGCTTTTGTGTGTATGTGTGTTGTTGGTACTAAGGTTTAAAATCAGAGCCTCAAGTTTGCTAAGTAGAGGCTCTTCCATTTAAGTTATACCTCTAGTCTTTTGCCTTAGCCATTTTTCAGATATGATATCAGGTTTTTTTAACCAGAGTCAGCATTGTATCTCAATCCTATGGCATAGCTGGGATGATAGTTGGTATCACCACATCCAATCAGTGGTATAAATGGACTCCCTGAAAAAAATATAGTTGGGGGGGGTGGGGAGCCTGGACTAGCCTTAAACCACAATTAATTATTTCCACCTCCCTCATAGTTACAATTATAGGCTTATACCTGGTCTCTAACAAGTAACATTTTGATTTCTTTACATAAATAAATCATCTTTAACTTTGATAAAAATAAATGAGATGGCTGTATTTCTTAATTCTAAACAACATTTATGAAAGTAAAACATGCCCTTTGTTTTCTTGGTTGTTGGGCCTGAGTGCTGTCCCTAAATTCTTTTGCTCAAGACTAAAGCTCTACCGCTTGGAGCCGCAGTTCTACTTCTGGCTTTT